CCTATCTCCGTACCTTGTAAACCACCCTAAAGTTCACTGAGTTTAATCGCCGCCGTCAAAATGATAAGCGTACAACGCCACAATCATCTATAGAGCAAACGTGTGTATACCGCCGACTGAATCCGATTGATCATCTGATTAACCAGAACTGAAGGGGTTACTCTTCAATGAGGACGGGGATACCGGTTAGAGGTGAAGGGGGCTACTTTTCAGTCGATCTGGGCCCTGCGCAGCGTGAAGATCTGACAACTAAAACTCGCTCGGCTTGTTCCTTCTCCAAAAGCAAAACGTATTCCACTATCTTGGGTTAATGTAAATGTCTACCAACGCGATGCTAGGATGGCCAGTTGAGCCTGATCAAATGATTCGTACCTGAAACAGAGGGGTGAGCTCATTCAGTACCGAAGGCAATATCGCTCACATAGTTGCTGGGGAATATTCCTTGCTTTCCGTGTGCATTGATTCCTTCCCACCACCCCTCTCCATAATGTTCCCCGCCATGTTCCCCAGAGGTTAGTTCATACTGCTCTCCTATCGCTAACGCTAGCTCGTCATCCCCTTGGGCCTCATAGTCATATAAAGCGACAACTAATCTCGTTTCCATCAATGAGCTACGAGTATGAAGACCCGGAACTCACCATATTTACCCGAACGAGAGACTTGCGTTACATTCGGGACTGGCATGGACAAATCTGGTTGTACCACTTCATCTTCCGAGTCTTCATCATTGTCAAGTTTGAGGTAACTGGCAGGTACTAAGCCGGACTTTTCAGTCGATTCCTTGAAGATTTTAATCCATCCTGAGCCATCGTCTTCCTCTAATACCTTTACCCTGGTTCCCTCTGATAATGATGAGCTGACGATCGTTATACAAGTACAATAGCTTGCCATCTACGGATATCTCGAATGGAGATGATGCAGTAAAGTCGAAAACAACTGTCGCCCAGACAGTTGGATGTTCTTCTTGATGTGGTTGAGTGGTGAATGAAGATGGAGTCGCCACGGTCGGAGTAGCTACGGTCGGAGTTACCAAGGTCGGGGCCTCCGTCGTTTTGGGTGAGAGAACTAATCGGCTTTGTTAGCAGATGAAGGAATTCCGCGTACTATACTACCTTTGCTCTCCTC